TGGTTTTCACTTTCAACTCTCTAATTGTCTGGGTTTTGTGAACGTCTGAACAGAGTTTTCAAGAGCAAGTAGTCTTGCTTCACAGATAACACTGTTTTTCTTAATTCCAGTTTGTGGTTCAAATACCCATTTATATAATGTAGGTCACTCCAAAAGCAATGCTTCCTGTTTATTTCCATGGAAACTACAACAGGTACAAAGAACACAAAAACACTACTGGATAAAGCAAAATGCCAGCTATAAAACGTTATTTTTGTATATAATTACCACTGTTAGCTATACATTTTCTCCATCAATGAGCAGCAGCCTGCGTGCTGTGCTTGTAAAAATCTGTGTAGACCTCCAGAATGCAGCTTGTCTTTCACAGCGCTGTTGCTGCTGCTGAAACATACCACCCACTGCCTCACTGTGCTCACACTTACTGTTTGGTATCCAGAAACGTTCAGTAAGAATCAATGAATGTCAGTAGGTGCCATTTTTTTTCTCAAATGGTGGAGTTCAATCCCATACCTTTGCTTCATATACACTTCCATGTGAGATGCCACTTGTCAGAGTGCCCCTCTGCTGCCATCTGTCACATGGCAACAAAATGTAATTAAATATTGGCAGCTTGGCTCTACTTCTACAGCCATACCACCAACATCTGCATCTGATGTTCTGGGTCAACAAAATAAAATAGGAGGCACTGCTTTGGAGCAGCCCTTTGGGATCTTTGGCCATCTTCCAGTATGAAATGTTACATATTCACACTGCATTTTAAATTGCTGGAAAATCTGTTTTCTTATGCTAATCAGTAACTTGTAAAGCATATAGCATTTAATACATAGATCACTTTAGTGGAGGCAATTCTGTTGATTGCAAAATCCATCAGAGTACACTGGCACGAAAAAAAGATTGTATGTGGCAGTCCATATTTAGTAAATTGAGGTTATTAATCAGACCCTGTTCCCAGTGTATCATTCATCCATATGTTAAGCATTTTTCAACACCCTGTGAGGGAACAGCAAGCACAGGCAGCTCTGCAGGAGAAGATATATGAGGTTTAAGGGTGGCAACAGTACAGCAGAGGCTAATCTCTCACCAATAAAGTATTGAGTGACTGTGAAAGTCCTGGCTTAAGCTAGGAAGTCAGGACAGCATTGGTAGTATATAGGCCTGTTTACAGGCATACCTTGTACAAATCAAGCAGGGGCAATGGAATGTAGCTGTGCTTGAACACAGCTATGGGTCGGTAGAGGTCCTGGAATGGGTTGCTTAGAGCACTTAAAGCTCCATGGTGAACTGAGGGTCGAGAGCAGGGTCCTTGGGGGTCACTTTTAGTAAATGTCTTTTTTATTTATTGCACATGCTACAAATTAATGGACCTCCCCCCTGTGCAGGTTTAGAGTAGTGCAGGCTCAAAAACAGATTCTGCTTCAGAATAAACTGAAAGAACAGTTGCAGCCCTATATTTTTGGGTTTTTTTGGACAGTCAATAGCACTCATCTTCAAAAAATTTTGACTGAATTCAGATACAATCCCCCTTCTTTGAAGTCTTTCAAACTTTCTTTATTCTCTCAGCATACTTGCTTTTATTTAAGCATAAGGATTCATGGCTGGGAAATGCCTGCAGTTCTAATGTGGAGCAGTAGGATCACAAGAAGATATGTAAGAACAAAAAGAATATTTTGACAACTTGCTTCCTTCAGGCATAAAAGCAATCTGCAGAATTTTACAGATTCTGTCAAACTGCCAATACACTACAGTTACTAAGGACCATCTGATAATGATGCAGTCTGGTAAGTCAACCTAAGATGCAGTTCCAAAAATCTCCCATTAGCAGATCATAAATGAACACTGATGAGCTGGAAATGTCTTCTCTATTATTGTAATTTCCATTCTACAAATGCAGATGTTCATGTTTTGGGGAAAAGAATGGGAAACACAACACTGGGTATGTTGTAATTAACTGCATCATCTTTTTGTGCTGGAAAAGCATATGTGAAAATAGAACAACTTATAGTTTGAGAACCTTACTGCAGATTGTGGTTCCAAATGAAGCTGTAAAAACACCAGAATCTTTTTCAAATGATGAACATAGAAAAGCAGACACTGTCATACTCTGAAATGCCAAGGGATCATGACTGTCTTTTGGTAGAGGACCAAGAGACGCATTGCTCGATGTGAAGCTACATTTTTTGGTGCAGAAAAGGAGTGGTACCAGAAAAAGACAGCAGCATCCATATTTCAGGTCTCATTGCTCTGAACTTCAAAGGCATGAAACATTGTTTCTCTGTATTTTCAAAGTCTGTCTGAAAATGAGAGATTTTCACATTTTTTCTGCATTCCAATAGATTAGTGAATTTTGTTATGGACAAACCAAGGTTTTGTATTGGCAAGACTGTGAACTAATGAACTCAAATTCCTGAGCTGCTGCCCACTTCTCTTCTGTCTACAGTAGCTCTTAAAAAGATCCTCAAACATGCACTTTTATAAGGATGAATTGTTAGCACACCGCAATGACGGTAATATTGAATCACGGAGTAGGAATGTTCTTGAGGACTATTTTGTTCTGCACTAGTGATTTCCCAGGTAACTAAGTCCTTATTGGGAATATTCCAAACCATCAATATTATAACTTTTATATTCCCCAAAGGGAGGTGATCTAGATACTAGAGAAATTTTTTTTCTGGAGAAAAATGTCTAGGGGATGAACATGACTTGGCTAACTATGTACATGACGAGAAACAAGTGTTCTTATAAGGACCCTTTGCCAAGGTGTTGAAGCAAAAAGGATAATTAAAAGAACTGCAGGAAATATTCTGTGGTATGCTCACATAGTGAAGACAAGGATTTTCTCAGACACAGTATTATATTAAGAATCCAGAAAGCTAATTCTTCTGTCCGCATCTGCTCCTGGTGACCTAGTGGTTGTCTTGCCAGCTCTGAGTACTCTGTGATCTGAAGATACCTCTTCTATTGAAGCCTCCTCTGGCAGAAAGGTGGACAGTTGGCTGCCTCTACAGCAGTGGCTTTTGTTGAAAGTAGGAGGAGATGCCAACCCCAAAATTTATCCACAAGGGGATTCAAGGAAGTGCTAAGCTAATTAAAGGTGCCTATAATGGGGAGCATGAAAATATGACTTAGAAGAGGATAAGCAAGTGCAGAGAGCAGAGTAGAGAGTTTGTTTTGTTTCTGTTAAAATGGTTGGAATGGACAACTTCTGGAATTCTTAGAACTGTCTACACATTTCTATTAAATATACACTGTATGTATGTATTTTATTGATGATATTTTCAAGGATTTTAAGAATGTTTTTTCATGTTCAGAAAAATAACCTATTTTGAAGGAAAAGGGGGAAAAATGTTTCACTATCAGAGGAGTTAAATATTAAAGACCATCTCTGTCCTTTTTATTTTTCTAGCGCTGTGAATACATCCTCACTACAAAGGGTCCAGAATTCATTTAATCTTTTTGTGACATTTCATTATGTGCTCCAATGCAATAGTGTAATTGTGTAGTACTATTAAAATGTATGGAAACAGAGGCTATAGAAATTCTTTGCTTGCTGTACTGGATGTGTGATTAGTGTATTTGCATCCGTACGTATTGAAGACAAAGAAATTGCACTGGAACCAGAGAGGATGCAGGAACATAACAAACAGAGGAAGTGGACATTGCTTCTTAAAGGAATTAAAAAAGTGTGAAAGAAAATAGGCCAGGTAATTTATATTAAATGAGGAAAAAATAGACAAAAAACTGTATCAAGCAACTTCATCGTATGTCAAGTAACACTTGTAGCTGCTGCTGGAGTTATGAGAAGTGCTTGTCATCAATTGCACCAAAATAACATCCATCAGTGGGGGTTTCCATGCATTTGCAAGTGATTTGTTTGACATAAATATATTTCCTTCAGAGTTGTAAAATTTATATGTAATTGGTTTGATTACCTTAAAAATCAAAGCTAAATACAAAATAAACAGTTCCTTCCTAGAGATTGCAGGAATGATGTTCCTATATGCAGTTATTTCAGTTATTTCTCTTTGTGACCTGTAGTGGAGAAGCTAGTAGTTGGGAGTTCGGAGTAATTGCCCATTCCTAGCAGAACCATTGGCTCACTTTGCTGATCACAGAGACCACTGTTAAGGTTTTCTTACCTGCACTGATCAAAAGGTTCTTCCATGTTATATGTGAGAATGTGCTCGGAAGTAGTGATGTGGGTAGACACTGCTGCCAGACTTTAGCAGAAGAAATTGTATTCCCCTCCTTATCTTTCTGTTGGGGCGTCCTGTGTAATGCTTTTGGGGTGATGGGAAGTAAATAAATCTGTTGGAAATATGCTTCATTTGTAAAGAATATAGAGACTGAAGAACTAAGAATCAAGCTTTTATTCAAATAGAAACAACTGTGCTGTCTGTGTAGCCTTAACTTTCATTTTCATGTTTTCAGTATTTAGTTCCATTTTACTATTCTGTTCAGTCAGGATGAAGTGGAGGCAGAACAGATCTGCTGAATGATTTTGGTTTTAGAAAAGAATGAAAGATTTTGTATCTAATACAAGCTTCTCCTTTTTCATTTTTTGATCTAATCTTGTTTTAAATGGAAGTCATTGCAGACTGTCCTGTATGATACTTGAATTTTTTTTTGAATCAATTTTTAATTAAAAGTTTATGTATACAATTTTTATATTTCCTGAGGAATGCACATACAGTTAAAGATGTTTTTGCCATTTTGTCTTTAATTTGCCATGAAATAAATTCACTGCAAGTATCTCGTGCATTTTGTATGTGACATCTATTACATGAAGCAAATTTTATAATTATTTAATGAACCTTTGTATCTGACCTTTAATTTCAGTTAAATTACTTGTAGCGTTGATCCCGCATCTAAAGCTTTTCAGAACTGAAGAATTCAAAACGAAAAAGAGGGCGAGCAATAAATACAGATGAAGGCTCTAGATTTCTGGTCTGCTGTGTTTGTGAGACAGTAGCAAATCCTGTATGATTTTTATTCTGTTTCAGCGGTTTACCTCTGCAAGCGGACAATGCAAAATAAAGCAAGGCTAGAGCTAGCAGACTATGAAGCTGTAAGTACCTGAGGAAAAGTAAATTTCTTTGCTGATCTTAATTAGCATGTAAAATAATGATAAGTGTGAGAACTGTGGGCATTCTGTAGTTATACAACTTTTGCCAGCATGTGGGTTTGACATTGCTCAGGAGTAATAAAAGGTGTTTGAGAGGCAGTAGCAAAGGCTGGCTGGGCAAGAGTTGACATTTTGGCTTGTCTCTAATACTGGATCATCATGCAAGGATCAGAAACAGCTGCTTGCAAATCGCACATACACCTCGTGTTTGAAAGCAATTGTACTCTACATAGTGTAAAGACTTGAATGAAAAGTCTCTGGCAATGTTTTGAGAAGCGTTTAGTAGCTATAGAGATATGAATCTCATTCTTAAAAGTGTTGCTGGCACTTGAGCTTACATCTCATCAGTTATACTATAGGCAAAGACTGCTAGAGTAGAAGCACTTCCCACTATAAATGTCATGCTCTGCCCCAGGCAAGAAAGCAAGGTAATTGGGGCTAGGAAGAGCAGTAGGAGGAAGGAGTTTGATTAGGTGAGGAGGATGGCACTGACCAAGGAGGTGGGTTGGATTCCGTCCCTATTCCCCCTAAAGTTCCTGAATTTTTCATGAAAGTGTCAACATAAGATTCATGCACAGTCCTTTCTCTGCACTGAAAACTGTCCAGCTGTGTTACTATGACATGATAGCAGGATAGTCAGCCAGACCTCTCAACATGCCAAATACTCTAGCCTCAGCATCATGCTGACAGACTTCATTGCCTCTTCTGGCACAAACTTGCTTTTCAGTGTACTGCACTGTGAGGTATGTATGATTTTATATTTGCAAAATTTACCTCCAGTATACTATTCATAAGAGCCTTTATTGGTATTTACAAGATTTCCAGTCTCTGTAATCTTTATTTTTGATAAGAATTTAGTTGAGAGACTTTTGCAATACATAGAAATACAATTAACACAACACTTTTTGTTAGGAAGTTTAAAGATGTTTTTTCACTTAATCTCAATAAAAACAATGTGCAATGGCAACTGGGATCTTTCTTGATGAATTTAAGTACCTCATTCTTCTCCATGTTATTATAATGCATGCTGCTGTCTCTCAAGCTTGAGAGAGATAGAAAAGCTCTGTCACAGAACATGAACCTGTTCCAGTGCCACCAAAATAATTTTCTCAAGGTTTGGAAAATCTTCTTCCTGTTATTAGTAGTAGAATATAGCATATATATACATTCCTCATGCAGTGCTGAATAACTTTAGTCTGTATTTCTTTTGAAATGAGAATAGCTGTGGAAGCTTCAGAGACTCCATTACAAAAATATTCCTACTTTCTCATTATTGTATTTTAAATACATTTGTATGTAGCCAACATTATCAAACACAAGTCACTCAGACAGGCAACTGATGGAATTTGTCATGTAGATCATTCAATATGGAAATTTCTTCTGTTACCTTTCATGAGTAGGTATAAAACAAGAATGTGGTTTTGCATTATTGCAGGATTACCCTGTCCAACACCCAGCACATGGAAATCTTTCAAAAATCCCATGTTCTTTTAGAGGATTTCATCCACTCTTATCATCAAATTTTCAAAGCAAAAATAGTGAGGACATTAAAAAGTAGATTGATGTAATGTTCTATCCTCTTTGGATTTGTGCAAACACTTTAAATCATAAGGTGCATTTATACTGGTACACACTAAGGCTTGCATTACGTCTTTGTGGGGGGGAGGCATGGGAGGAGGAAAAGGTAAGTCAAAAACTATTAAACAGTAAATTGCTACCTAACTTGTCAAAACTGTGATCTGTTTTCAGGAGAGCTTGGCCAGGCTACAGCGAGCATTTGCTCGGAAGTGGGAGTTTATTTTTATGCAAGCTGAAGCACAAGCAAAGTAAGTTCCTTTCAAGATGAGTTTTGTGTGTGCATGTGTGTGTGCTTTTAAAGGGAATAGGGGATAAATAAGATATTGGAAACCTCTTATGTTTCAAATCACTAACACAGTTTCTTTTAAATATCTCACAATAATGACAGAGTTGACAAGAAGAGAGACAAGATAGAAAGGAAAATTCTTGACAGCCAGGAGCGAGCGTTTTGGGATGTGCACCGGCCAGTGGTGAGTGCTGGTGGAGTTGTGCTGCCTGGGAGCAGGACTGATGGTGAACATTAGTCTCTGCAGGGTGTTCAGGTAGTCTGGAAACAAGTAAAAGGTTTGTAAAGCATGAGTTGGGGTCTGCCTTCCCATTTCCAATATCAACAGTTTCCATCATTCTGCTATTTAAGACTGCTTTTAAGATTACACACAGTTTAGGGTTTTCAGGAAATAGATTTCTTGTGTCTAATTTCTTGAATCAGACAGTAACTTTTTTTCGCTATTACAGTCTCAAATGTTTTGCAAGGTATGAGTCACGCCATTACACTATCATATCTAAAACTGCTTTTAAATAATTCAGAATATATTTTAATCTAATTATTTGCTTGCTAAGCCTTCCAATTTCACTGGTCATATTTTCAATTTTTTTTTTAATGTGCATAAAGGTTAGCTATTGTTAGCTTTGATATGTGAAAGCTGTAGTCTTAACAAGATTTGTCAGATTTCTCTTTCAAAATCCATCTGAAATTTTCAAAAAAAGTCCTACTGCTTCAGAGAGTGAAAAATAGAGGGAAAACACCAAATGTCATAACAATTCTGATTGATCTTTGAGAAGTGAATAATGACACTGGTTTGCATTACTACAGAATTATATCTGCTTTTCATATGTAGCATTAAGCTACATATACATTTTGATATAATCGCCAGTGAAATAGAATATGGACTGTATCTTCCACTGACATTTTAATAAATAAGGAACTAAAGCTTACTCATTTTCATTCGTAGTTGTTAGATGACTTAAACTGTAACAACAGCTGGTGCTATGTTGTCAGTAATTGTTTTGAGGAAGTAAGGTCAGCTTGATGAAGCCTGTAGAAGAGGTGGATGGGGTGAAAAAGTTTCAGAGAAAAAATAATGAACTTCAACAGGGTCAACTTGCACTTGTGTAGAGTGGTATTGGAAGAGCAGTAGAAGAAATGGATTTTTAGGTAGGATTTAAAATGTCAAGTAGGGAAAATCATTTGAGGTGAAAAATTCAGTCTGCAGACATTAGATACAAAAACATTATTGTCTAGTCACTGGCATTAAACAACAAAGGAGGGCAGAAAAACAATCTGCCACCTGATGTTCATGGAAGCTGTCAATAGAAGAGACACAGAATGTTTCTACGCGTATAAGAAGTTTAAAAGCATACAGCATTTATCTTAGCTGCAAAAATGGATTTAAGGGATTTGAATCTGGGAATGAGATGCTGTTTCCATGTTTGGAAGAGAAGTAGTTGAAGGTTTGAGTTAAGGTATGAGCAGACAATAAGGAGAGGTTTAAAGGCATCAGAGCAAGAGGAAATTGAATCTGATTGAGAGCTTTGACTGAACTGTGGATAAATCTGCCTACTCTTGTTGAGATTTTAACCTGGATGTAGATAGACCTAGGAAATATCAAAGGTAAAAGATTGGCTTACTGTCAGCAATCTAGGCTCCTGACTTTGAGAGATTATATAAATAGAGATATAAATAGAAGAATGGAGAAGAAATCATTGGCACTTGGGCTAAACCTAGCAACATATTCTTTCTTTTTTTTTTTTTTTTTTTTTTTTTTTGTGTGTGTGTGTGTGTGTGTGTACTGGCAGAGTAAATATATCTTAAGAGCTTTCCTTTTCTTTACATGTTCCCTGAAAGAGCATTTCCCTAATTTTGAAATTTCTATAAATAGCAGACTATGGAACTGATTGAATGAAAATTGATTAGGAGAATTAGGGTTTCAGTCAAAAAGCAGTAACAAAACAGCTAATGCAGGGAAGACGGTTCTTCTAAGATGAAAAGAAATTGAGCTGTTCTTCTTCGAAAAGTAATGTTAAATGTCTGGATTGAAGCCTTTGTAAAAGAACTCATAGCTTTCCTGAATCTAGGCAGACTCTGTTAAGATCGAAAGTGACTGTAAGACCAATACACTGATGATATAACATTTGTAAATACTTCTGATTGCAGGATTTAGGGGTTTCATGGCATTGTTGTCTGGTAGAAAAGTAAGGAAAAAGCAAACTTGTCATTTCTTTAAGACCTTGTCACACATTCCACACCTTCATCTTTTTTTCCCTGTTAAATTCTTTACTGGATTCTGTTTCCATTGATCTCATTTTAAATGTTTATATTTTAAAATTGTAATTTATGTGGTCTGAACATGATCCTCAGTATCTGTGCCAAAAGGTAATACTACCAGGTGTTCAGGGTCATGCAGTGGATAGCTGTGGTTATTTGTTCTAGGCTTTCCTTTCTTTTTCTTTTTTTCATTTATTCTGCTTTTAATGACTTTTCCATCCTGTTCTTCAAGATCAGCCTCAAAGACTTGGCAAAGAACTGCATTTAACTTGGCCAAGGTGGAACAGTCCTTTTTTTCACACTTCATGTGCTACAGACCTTGAGATTTTCTGGGTCAGTTACTTGTTCAGCCACAGAATATTTCTCTGTGCTTTACCTTTTAAACATCTATAGGAAACAAACATAAATTATGCCATCCAATTTATCTGGTGATGTATCATGTCTCCTTTTGCACCTGTTTCACTGTGTACCTTTACAAGGGAGTTACCCATCCAACAGTCGGGGAATATGGCCAACACAGCTGTTGCCAGCCTCAAATAATCACACTTCTGGTAATAAAATAAATGTATTGTACAATGTGTTATTTTCAGAATTGTGAAATAAAACTGATGAGGTAATGGGAAGATGCAGAAAAATGAGATGATCTGGTTTTTAGTAAGACTCAATTCTGGTAGCAACTGGGATAATAAGCTGAATTATTAAGTGCAGTACAAAACATAGATTTAACAGATTTCCTTATGCATTAGTATTGCAAATACTGTATTTTTCACAAAGATCATATTAACACATTCTTAATTAAAATTCATACTGCTTAAAAAATTTTGAATCTATGCAATTTATGTTATTTATGTACAGTAATATCTGGTTCTGAAAACTAGTCACTACAAACCTAAAACAACCTGTTGTAAATTAAGAACAATCAGAAATTGGATTAGCTTTCAGAAAGAATTAAGCATGTCAGTTCTGTCCAGTCATAAACTCTTTAGCACTGTTTCTAGTTTACTTTTAAGTGCCTTAAGTCTTTAAAAATTACATCTCAACATCTCTTTTGTATGAATTTTATACATTATGTCTTTTCTGTGACAGAGAAACCACTATAAGAATTATTTTCAAAAGTGAAATGATGAAATCCTATTCTCTTAAAGTGAAAACCCAGTTTTGTACTAAATCTTAAACAAGCAAGGAAATGAGAATGTGAGCATAAATGTCACGATTGATGCTCACATATGGATTAAATTTAAGGCTTAGTTTATTATATTAAATTTCTTGAAAATCTCTATGTATCTCTTCTTCTCCTGTCCCAAGAAAACCCTTTATTTGCAAGGCCACTGAAATTCCTTTTGTGCCTGATATTATTCAGGGAAAAGATTTGAGCTGTAGTTTGAAAGGACAGGTATAAAGTATAAAGAGAAAGCTCATGCAGCTCAGGTGCTTTTTTTTTTTTAAGATACTGGAAAAGATACTGAAGTTTTAAGCAACCCTAACTTTGCTGTTGAGTGGTTGAGTGTGACTTCCCATCTTTTACTTTTAAAAACAATTGGTTTTACTGTACTGCACATGCTATTTAAAGCTTGATCAAACTAATTGATCATTTCTTCTGTATCTGATGCTCTTTGAACCTCATTTTTCTTGTCTAAACAAGAGAACTTGACAACTTTTAGTTATGTTTTTATCCACTGATTGCAATCTTATTCATGCTTTAATTTTAAACTGCAGAACAACAGGGGGCCTTCTGCCATTTTAATAGTACTCTTCAAATAATATATATTTAATAGTTATCTTCAAATAAAGCCTTGACTAAAGCATGTATTGATTTTACTAATTGGTACAAATGGCAAGTTGTCCTTTACAAGAGACTTGTCTATAGCAGGTTTAACTTATGCTTATGCCTGTTTTTGCAGTTTATCAATAATTCATTATTTCTGCATCAGTGTATTTCCAGTGGATGACACAATCAGGATTGTTGCTCATTCATTTCACTTTAATAAATAAATTTGTAACCGTATATCTCTATTATGTAATAACTCAAAATGAAATTAACTAAGGAGGACATATATTGAGCATTTAAATTCTCTGTGCTTCCTGCATAGTTCTCTGTTAAAATCTTCAACAGGAGAGAACACTTAATCCTAACAAAGCTTTTATTAATTATTAGCAGGACGATCCTTTCCTTTGTAGGAACCACTCCAGTAAGGTTTGATATTGGATATACTGAAGCCTGAAATGCCATTTCAGTAAATGAATAAGAAAGCATGAAAAGCTGTATTTAGGAAATTAAAAGCCAACAGATTGTACATCATCAGCTGATATAGACAAGTTTTAGCAGCTAAGCTGTGTAATACTAATTTGTTTCCATAATATTACTTGAGTGTAGATCACTATTTTCAAAGATAGTTCCAGCATCTTGTTAGATGTATCATGTTTTAAAAATACATTCAAATTAAGGAATATAACCAAATTTGCGGCTGTTCTATGCAAGACCACTTCCAAATTGTATTCACTTATTTCAGTGTCAGACTGAATTCATAATACTGACAATCATAATCACATAATAATTATTTACCCTATTTGTGTTCCAGAAGGATTGTATTTAGTAGCATAGTACAGGTGTTTTAAGATGAATGATTAAAAGGCTGAAGAAATTGTGAAAAATACTTCAGTAAAACAAGCAGGTTTTAATAATTTTTTCCTGATTATGTGCCAAATTTGCAAGGCATCCAGGAATTAATTTGAAACGTAACTGCTACAGAATTTATCTTGTAAGAAAATCTTGGGATTTTCTTCCTGAACATTAAATATAATTTATCAGTGTTAATTGGAAAGCATCACTGTACTTCCCAGATGAGCTAACTTACAACAGAAAAGAGAGTCCTTGGGAAGAACTAGGAAAAATGTGATACAATTTTAGAGAAGTTTAGTCTGGAG